CCCTCCTAATTTCTCTCACGGAGGGCTCCCGGAGAAGGGCCTCTCCCGCCGATCTCAGGGGGCGACTGGGCATATATGGATGTAAGCGCTCCTTCATGCGAATCCAGCAAGCATGGGTAATGCTAATCTTAAACAACCCTCACATAAACAGATGATAGGTTAAGGAGAGGTTGTTTAACCCTACCTTCCATGCTTCCCAGGTTCACATGACACAACATCCTACAAGCAAGGGTGGCTTTTTCAAAATTAGTGGCTGCACATTACTAGTTGTTGTTTTTTTTAAATAGAAGATGGCGGTTTTACTGTCAGGGATGGAGAGTAGTACTTGTGGGATTTTCTGCCCTGGATGCCAAAATAACTTGACTGGCTTTATAAACTGTGTATCTTGGGTTTGGTGGGAAGAGTAATTTGTTGCTTTGCCTTAGAATGCAAAAAGTCTTTGGCCAGCCCTGCCTGGGGGGGGTTGAGAGGATGCCGTAAAATGTTACTGAGTGTGCTGTGTGCTTTTGTCGACCTCCACTAAGGCTTTTATGTGTGTAACTAGTTAAAGTGGTTCTAGTCCTAATGCAGCCCTATTTAGTGCATACAATGTATGACTGTCTGACTGAGTCTACAGTTCAATGGCCCATACCAGGCAAAACGAGCTTGAGCCATGGAGGTGTGAGGAAAGTGTTGCACCTTTTTTTGATAGTCATAGAGGAATAGTCAATGGTAAAGTGACCTGTTCAGGCAGGCATTTTAGTTTTTCCATTGTGTCTATGGTGCAATCTTTCTTTTGTTCACCATTTTAAAAAAACCATCATCATTTCTGTCTAGGATGGGAAGCAGGGTGGTACATCCATAGTCTGAACACTGCAATTTGAGAAAAACTGTTCTCATATTTGTTTCTGACCTATTTACACCTCACAGATTTGTTTAAAAAATTGAGATAGTAGTTCTAGTGAGCTGGTTAAATGCATTCATAGCTCCTGCCGTGAGATAACCAAATCTAGTTTTACAGTTTTGTTTTAAATTGCTGTTCACTATCTTGATGGCTTATTCACAAAAAAACAGAGGTATATAAATGCTAACAATTAAAATAGTCAAGTGTGTTAATTATTCTTTCCAACAGCTTGGACATTAACACCAGCCAAATCCACTTGAAACAGAAATACATCTTCTTGTGTACCTGACTGGTCTTTGGGAGGGTAAAGAAGGCTGAGAGGTTGCAATTTAAAAGGGAAATACATAATACCAGCTGCAGGACCCATAAAAATAATACCATCAGTGATTACCTTTGACTAGCAATTATTTGTTGGAAGGAAATATTTGATAGATCTTTCATTATAAATGTGGAATCTAATTTTATGCAAAATTAGTTATTTTGACTATTAAGGGTGCTTTCTAGATAAGGAAAGCATCTAGATACATTTGACAACTCACATTTTAATAGCTGTCATATGTAACCAAAAAGGGGAAAAAATTTTTACTTGCTGCATCTGAAGGGCAATACCCCGGTGAGTACTTGATGGACTTTGCCAGCAGCCCCTTTCCCTGTGCAATGCCCATCTGAGGCTCCCCATCCAAGCACCAGGGCAACTGTGGACAAGTATAGGTAGTTTTTAAAGTACATTTAAAATGCTATTTTCCAAATATTTCCAGCTGCTATTTTTTAAAGCTTGGTAATCACAGGGAACCCCTCCAACATACTGCTGGACCACATTGAAGGGGCTGTCAAAACAGGTACAGGCAGCCCCCAAATTACGCCCATCCAAGTTATGAACAACCCATACTTATGGATAAACTGCCATAAAGCCTACTATTTAAAAAAAAATACTACAGGAAATCGACATCGCCATAGAGAGGAAGCAAAAGGGAGTGAGGGCCTCTAAAGCATCATTAGAGTAAGAGGGGTAGTGAAAGGGTAGAGAAAAAAGCCTCCAAAGCAGGCCTTCCTGCTCTGCCAATCTGGAGAGAGAAATCTCTGCTATTTCCTGGCATTTGTGAGTTTGGGCAGGTACTGGGGGTGGTGAATAGTGATATCTGTGGTTTTTCCACTTTCATGGGGATCCTGTGCCCCTAACCTCTGCAAATATGGAGAGCCAACTATACCTGATTCGACTTGCATACAGATGCAACTTAAAGACGAATTTCCATTTTCCCAGGAATGGAACTTGTTCATAAGCTGGGGACTGCCTATACTGCAGAAACCTGCATATCAGCCCATCTTTGTGATCCTCAGGGAGGAAAAACTGTGCTGAGCCTGAATCAGTTTGGGAACACAGTAGGGAGGCAGTGGGAACAGCTCATTTCTCCTGTTAAGGTCTTCTGGGATTTATTTATTTATTTTTGGATTTATATCCTGCCTTTTTCCTACAAAGGGCTCAAGGCAGCTTACATCATTCTCTTCCTCCATCTTATCCCCACAACAACACCCCTGTGAGGTAGGTTGGGCTGAGAGTCTGTGACTGGCCCAAAGTCACCCAGTCCCAGTCCCATGCTTTTAACCATACACCACACTGGCTCTCTACAGGTCACTGGGATGACCTGTAGGAGGAGGAATAGGAGAGGAGGGGGAGGACCACATCCATCAGGCTCACCATGGGTTGCTTGCAATGACAACCCACCCACTGTGGATTATTGTCATGGTGGATTTGTGTGTCTCAAGGGCAACTCCAGCACCTGGCCCAAGTTCACCCAGCCCACTTCATGGCTAAGTCAAGATTCCACCCTAGCTTTCCCCTGTACTTGGAAGTAAAGCATCATTGTAATCAGTGGAACATCTGATAAACATGACCCACATGGCCAACTTTGGACAAGCCATTGGAATGGACTGGCACATACTTAGCAGCTTCCACATGCTGTCCTGGGAGAGCTGGTTGATTGGCTGAGGAGCTTAGCGGGACAGTCCTGACTGACCCAATGTCACCCGGTGAGCTGAGCCGGGATGCGAAAAACCCTGGCCTCCCAGAATCCTCCGCGACAAGCAAGAGGCTAGTTGCATGGCAGCAGACGCTTATGAGCAGGTTTCCTTCGCAGACATGTCATTGGGGAAACTTGCTGCCAGAGTAGATAAAAGGTTCACAACTTCGCAAATCAACTAATCAGGGTGACCCGAGAGCTAAACGAACTGGAGCAGGGGGCTGGGGGTGGAAACCGGCACAGCTACTCGGACTGCTCCCCGGCCCCCGCGACTCCGGGGCGCGTTCTGATATTGGATCGCTCGGGCAGGTCTTTTTGCCCCAACAGGCCGCTGTAGCGGCTTGTTGCCCCGGCGACGGCTCCGCGCTGTCACTACTTGCAGAGGCGAAGGTGGCTTCGGCTCCCTCATTCCTCATACGGCGGCCTTGGGGCTTCTCGAGTCGCAGGGGAAAGAGCCAGTCGCCCAGAGAGGGGAGGGCTCGCCCATTTCGACCGCGGGGAGAGAGCAGCCCCCCGAGCCATGGAGCCGAATTCCTCCGAGGGGGCTTAAGTGGCCCCAAGCACCAAGCCCCCCCTTGTCTCAGCTGGGATCTCGCCCGCTCAAGGGGACCGCTTGTCCCTAAGGTCCTTCCTCCCACTCCCCATCGATATATTCTGGCTCCCTGCTTCCTTGGTTATCTTGCCGCGGAGGGCTGCTCGGGAAGGAGAATTGCAAGAACCGGAAAAACAACGCCACCAAACTGCATTTCCATGTATATATTAGCTGATTTTTATGCCTGAACAGTCCCGGGGGAGTACCCTGCCCCCAACCCAGCATTCATCCAGCTATCTGCTCTCGTTCGGAAACCCTCTCTGAGGAGCTTCATCCCCGATTTAAGTATCTCTCGGGGGTGTGGGGGGAGAGAATCTGCTCCCACGCTCTACGATTAACCTCCTGTCTTCCCAGTCAGGCTTTCTTCCTAATGATTCCCCCCGCCTTCCACTCTACTATAGCATAGGGTGATTTGTTAACTGCACCGCCCCCCGATTTTGGGGAGCAGTCTTTGGGGAGAGAAGTGCCACGTTCTTCCTCATTCCTTCCCACCTAGATCTCCTACCCGTTTCTATTCTTAGCCTTCCGTGGGATCGGCTTTCTTCCCAATCGTTGACTAGGATCTTGAGATCTGCTGCCTGGAGGGGGAAAGGAGGACGCCTTTCCTGGGCCAAAGAGAAGTTGCAGCTCTGTCTTGCCTTTCGATCCACACCCCCCACCCCACCTCCTTCTGCATCAGGAGTGAAGGGGAAGGAGGGCGTGTGTATACATGTGCCTGTGTGTAGGTAGGAGGAGGAGGAGGGGAAATGTTGGTGTCTCCTTCTCCCTGGAAACGCTGGAGAGACTGAGGCGAAAGTGAAGCAGCAGGAGAGAAAGTTTCCTTGTAGGTGCCTGGTCTAAGTAGCGAGTGATGCACCTAAAGCAGCGGCAACGGTGGCAGCGGGCTGTGCTGGTGCCGCATTGTGCTTGCTGAGGCTCCTCCTGGGCGGCGGGGGCTCAGTAACGTCCTACGAGGAGGAGGAGGAGGAGGAGGAAGCAGCAAAGCAGTCTCTATTCGCCCACCTCCACCAGTATATCCTTTCAGCCAAGAGGGTGTTGCGTGCTCGCTCTCGCTCTCCTTTCTGGCCTCAGTGCAATGTGAAGCTTGCACACAATCTTGATCGCGAAGGACTGGAGCTTCAACCTAGTACATGCATCCGATAATCATCTTCTCCTACAAAATGGATTTTAGCCAGAACAATCTGTTTGGTTACATCGAAGATCTGCAAGAACTTACTATTATTGAAAGGCCGGTACGAAGGAGCTTAAAGGTACATCTTGTCTATCTGTCTATTAAAAAAAAATACTTTCCACGCTAACTGCAGTTATTTCTGATGGGTGAATGTTAAGCAAATGATGCTAGTGTCTATTTTGCAGGCTCAGCTTATTTTAAATGGAATAGATGGTTTGCACAGATAAAGCATCGAATTCCTCTCAGCAATAGCATGAAGCTTTCACAAATGGGATGTGAGAAAGAGGAGAAAAAAAAATCTATGGACTAACTGCTTTGACTTGAATAAGGTTTAATGGTTATATAATTTAGGATATTTTTCATTCCTGGTTGCAATTCCTAGTTTATTGCAAGGTTGCAGTATACTAGATAAACAACACTATTACTGGTTAAATAGTGAACTGACTCATTTTTAAAACGTTTCTGGGATTCTGGGAATTAAAAATCAAAGGCCTGAAAGGAATCTACCCTAGAAAAGACTTCTAAGAGACTGTTCCAGTGAAAGTGACTTAAAAATTACAGCCTGTCATTCTGATTCAGGAGTGAGCTGAGGAAGGGGATAGTGGTAGAGCACAAAATTCAGATGCACAGAATTCTTGGTTCAGTCCTTGCCATTGCTAGTTAAAGAAATTCAACACATTCAGCAAATCCCCCTACACAAGATTTGGGAAACCTGGTGCCCATTGGTATAAAATATAGATTGTATTGAAATAAATGGTTCAGTGGGCTACCACATATAAAGTAGCTTCATAGCCAATTAATCAGAAGGACTTGAATTTGTTTTCCATTGGCATTTCTTTAAATGCTTTTACTGTGGTTTAAATTGTGCCTCAGGCTGTAAAGCATAATTAACACCATCATGGCAGACACACTTACTCATTTCAAACTAATCTTGATGATTGATAGTGAATGTCTACTCAGGAGTAAGTCCCTGAATTCACTGGGTCTTACTCCTCTCTAACTATGTATGGCATTGTAGGCTCAAGTATATTTATGACTTTGGGGTAGACAGTTAACAGAGTCAAGCATGGGCTTGAGATATTAATCATGCTAATTTATGTTTCACATTTGACAGACACCAGAAGAAATTGAGAGACTGACAGTTGATGAAGAACTCAATGATATTGAAAGGGCTGTTTATCTACTCAGGTAGTCTTTAAGATACTGTTGTGGAATTTTTTGATAATACCTTTTTTAACTTAAATGTTTCATCATGATTATTGTAGTGTTTGATTTGTGTGTGTGTTGGAATAACACCATCCATGGAGCATTAAAATAAGTGTGTGAAGAATTTCCATCAGATTTGCATGCAGTGTCATGGGCAAGTGATGCACTGGCACGAGTGCAAGCTGTTCAGCTACTTACTGGCTTTCCTCTCTTCTAGTGAACTACCCTGCTGTGGTTTTCTTTTAAGTATCACCAGACTGAATAGTAGCATTAACAGGACCAGTAACTGACTTGTGTCTGTCCATAATACAACTTCTACTATGATTATGCAGTATTTGATCATTGCTTCAGAGAATATAAAAGAATGAACTAAGAAGGCCTAAGGGATTCAAAGTTACAGATAATGTTGACAATCATATGGGGCACTGCAGCACCCCACCTCCCATTTGCTTGAAATGTTTATTTCACAGATGTTGAACTGTCTTGAACTTTAATTGCCCAAAACATGGCTTTCTTTTGACTTTTATGCAGATGACATCTTTGAAGGAGGTGCTGAGCTGGAGGATTTTGATTTAAACTTGCATTTTTATACAATGTTCACTAATTGAAGTGCCAGCTGCAAGCTTTCTTTCAGTTTGATCAGCTATTTTTAGAATTCTCAAGAGCCATGTTTGTCTCTGTCTGGTTTTTAAAATGTAATTTGTACTCTGCTAATACCATATCTGTGTTATTCTTTTAAGTTAGAATTTTTGTCAGTCATTTATGTGTTTAGTAAAGGTTCCTAACTAGTAAAATAGGTACTATCTTTGTTTTGCTTTCTCAGGTACCTCATCACCCAAATATTTGAAAATACTAGTTTGAATTCATCATGTCTTTTTTCCCAATGTTACTATGTAAAAGTACTATCCTATTTCTTTAGGTATTGGGGTACATAAGTTCTGCATGACCTCCATGTGGGTGGGATGCATAATATTGTAATCCTGCAGTGTGTAAATTGCCCTCATAGTTAAGTGTTTCTTGATTGTCATAACTGACAAGAATTCTGTGTGGGCAAGTAAGTGGAAAGGCAAACGGTGCACCTTGTCTCTGCTCACTTCTTTTAGCAGGCCTCTTAGCAAAGTGCTTAGTCTTTTAGTATGCAAATACCTTTTGTGGGCCTGTTTTAACAGCTGCTGTAAATAATGAATATTTGTGGTATTTGTGCTGCTTCAAGCAAATTTTTCTCCAGTGGTTATTTTCATGGGTAATTGTTCCATGCATAATTTCCTAGGGACGTGTAGGTCTTCTCCTGGCCCATATTGTCCAGTTCCTGTGTGTGTTCATTGGGTGACTACAGTTCAAAACAATGTCTGGTAACTAATCAGTGTAGAAGTCCAAACTGTGGTAGTCATCTTTTTCTTAGTGTTTGGGCAGTCTGAGAGTGCAAGACAAGTTTCTGCCACTTTATACCTTGCAGGAATAAAGAGGGTGCCGTTTGTCTATGATGGAAAAGAAGGATAATGCATTTTCACTGGGTATGCCTAGCCAGCAAATACTTTTTAAACATAAGTAATTTGATTTCATGAATGTTGATGGAGTTGAAGAATTACTAAAATTAATCTGTATTCCTCTCAACTGTTTGCTTTTTAGTTTGGTTTTGTATTCTTCTTGACTATTGATTTTTTCTGCTCTACTATACAGTTTGTTCAGAGAATATCTAACTGTATTACTATATATTACTGGAAGATATATTACTATTTCTTTTAGTTCTTCTCGAGATGTATACATTTTATTTTTAATATCTTTTAACCTTTAATGTCAGTTGTGTCAAATGTCAAAGGGAGCCTCGGAAACCATCAGCACAGCAATGCTTACACTGTTTCTATTTGGAAAGTACATAAGTTCCTCAATGCACAAGTACAGGATGCTAATCTAACTTTCCAGTTTGTTATTTTTTCCTGAATGTTTTGTACATTCTGTGGCACATGGAAAAGCTTCTGTAGATTGACTAAACTTCTTAAATAAGAACTTCAGTAATTCTGGAACGAAGCAGAGATAACAAGTTGAGTTGGACAAGGGCAGTTGAATCTAGTCCTGTGTCTTAATTTTAAGAAGCATACACATGTCCGTATGTTCTCATTCCAAATTTTATTAAGTCAGGTTCTTCTCATGGAAATATAAGGCAGTTTGTTAACCGATTACACAAATAAATAATCACGATACCTTTGCATACTTCCTGATCCAGACTTCTGTAAGAAGCACTGTGTAATAGGGAGTCACATACTTGAAGAACATGCAGCGTCAGTGAACAATTCCCTGTGTGATCCTCTTCCTCCCAGTTGCAGGAATGTGTGGCGCACAGGAGAACACCCCATGTAACTGCTGATCACACATCAGTGATAAAGGCAGGGATAGGAGCAACTCAGTCAGCACTGGAAGAGGTAGTTCTTCCTAGTACATGCTGGGTCCATTTGTGCATGTCTCTCATGGGCGCATTGTGTGTGGAGCCAAAGATGGTGGTGTTGCTGGGAGAAGCAGCCAGTATGCCCATAAGGCATAACTATGCCCAATAGGCATAAGTTCATATGTGTGCTACATGTCACTCCAATAGGGATGATGCGTTGTGTTGGAAGCTGGGGACTTGACCAGTACTGGAGGGGTGGGGGTTACCCTTCTCAGCACTAACCAAGCCTGGTTGCACGTTTCTCCCAGTACCAGCTACTTCTCCCAGTGCTGTCCATTTTCTCTGGGCTGAGAAATGCTTGGAAAATGGGCACAAAAATGATGTTCTCCGTAGGTGTGATCAAACCTGCTGACATGATTTGGCTTACTGAAGGCTGGTGGTCCATAACTGTTACATTTCCCTGAACCCTGTTGTAATATTAATAATAAAGTTTACAGGTAAGGGTTCTTCAATTTCCTATATTGCATATTCCTTAAAATCATAGAATAGTAGAGTTGGAAGGGGCCTGTATGGCCATTGAGTCCAACCCTGGGCTCACTGCAGAACTCTTAAGTTAAAGCATCCCTGATAGATGGCTGTACAACTGCCTCTTGAATGCCTTCAGTATGGGAAAGCCCACGACTTTCCTAGGTGATTGTAACAGACAAGTTTTTCCCAATGCCCAGCTGGAATCTAACTAAACCCTATTATTCTGTGCCCTGCACTCTGGCATGGCTCAGAAAAGATCATGGCCTTCTTCTGTGTGACAACATTTCAAGAAGTGCTAAACATGCCCAGTTCCTTCAATCCCTCTTTGTGATCGTCTTTGTTAACCTTCTCTGAACTTCTTTCCAGTTTATCAGCATCTGTCTTAAACTGTGGAGCCCAGAACTGGATACCATACTTAAGAAGGCCCTAGCTTTTGCTGAATAGAGGGGAAATAGTACCTCATGTGATTTGGAAGCTATAGCCCTGTTATTGTAGCCCAAAATAGCTTTTGCTTGTTGTTGTTTTGCAGCCACATCACACTTTCGGCTCATATTCAATGTGTAATTTAGAACAACAATAAAGTTTCTTGCTTATAGTATCATTGAACCAAGTAGTCCCCATCTTGTAACCCTATATTTGGTGCCCCTTTCCTAGTATTGGCATATTTTTTTTTTATTGAGTTGCCTTCTGTTGCTTTTAGCCCTGGGCTCCTGCCTGTCAAGATCTCTTTGAATTTTGTTTCTGTTTTCCAGGGTATTAGCTATTCCACCCAGTTTTGTGTCATCTGCTGATTGGTCAGCATTCCCTCTACCTCCTCATCCAAGTCATTAATAAAAATATTGAAGACCACTGATTCCAGGATTGAGCCCTGTGGTAGCCCATTCATTATCTCTCCCCAGTCCGAGAAAGTGCCTTGGAGAACTACTCTCTGAGTCCTGTTCTGTAACCATCTGTGGATCCACCTGATAGTTGTTCCATCTAGTCCACATTTAGCTAGTTTGCTGATCAGAATACCATGGGGCACTTTGTCAGAAGCTTTGCTGAAGTCAAGATATACTATGTCCACAGCATTCCCACAGTCCATAAAGGATGTTACTTGGTCAAATTATAAGATCAGATTAGAAACATAGAAATGGGGGTGGGGGAGTCAGAAGGGGGCCTCTTGGGCCATCTGTCTGACCCCCAGCTCAGTCTGGCAAGATTTGTTCTTGATAAATCCATGCTGGCTTCTAGTAATTATTGCATTGTCTTCAAGGTGCTTACACATTGCCTTCTTTATTATCTGTTCTGCATTTTTTTTCAAGGATTGAGGAACTAGCAGCTGATCTGTAGTGCTTGGGATCCTCTTTTTTGTTCCTTCTGAAATTAGGGACAACATTAGCCCTTTTTCAATTATCTGGCATTTCACCTGTCCTCCATGATGCTTCAAATGTTAGACAGTGGCTCTGAGGGTTCTTCTGTCACTTCCTTTATTATTCTGGGATACAATTCATCAGGCCTTGCATATTTGAATTAATATCTATTCTTGTCTAACTTGTTATTAATTTATCTGCTTTTCCTATACAATAATTGCATTTTTCAAACGTTATTTCTGCCAGTTTGCTGATAACAAGTTAAACTTCAGTTGTCACATTTCTGCCTGAGTATTGCCAGCATGCTATTTGCTTGATTGACTGATGAAAAAACATTTTTTTGCTCCAGGTTTCTCTCAGTGTCATACATTTGATCTCTGTTACATACCTTCCAGCTATTTTTGCATTATATGTTGGTTTGCATCATGGACAAGAACTGGAGAATTGAAGCCTTGGGAGAAAAAAAATCACAAACAAAAATCATGGGAAAGAATGGCCTTTTTTCTGTGGCCCACTCCCCCTAAATTGAACAGCATTGATGTCTAAAATATTTTATTTTAGAATGATAAATACAATATTTAAGACAAGGTGTTTACATACCATTACCCAGCCTTTGACTTTCTCCAAATGATTTCTAAATCTATATAGTAAGGTTTTTCTCTAGAAAAACTAGAGATGCAAAACTCCTGTAAATTATAAAGCCATAGTAGATATTTTTA